TAATTACATGGTTTTTTTTTTTTTTTTTTTTAAAGTAAGAATATATGATTTTCCATCTTTAATATTTTTGAAGAAAAATAAAATTTTGACAAAAAATAAAGGAAGTTTTGTTTTTGTTTTTTTTTTAAAAATTATTAATGGGGTGTTTTTGGGAATTTTAAATAAAATTTTGAAGAAAAAAAAAGAAAAACAAAAAAAAATGAGTCATGATCCCTAAACTATTGATGATTTAACATCCCTAAACTATTTTGCTGACTCATAGTCCCTAAACTAATGCTTAGTCAGCTTAGTCCCTAAACTTTTGGCTGGAAAACACCTTTCAAGGTGGAGGGGGGGGGGACTAAAATGCTCCAAAAAAGTTGAGAGGGACTAAAACTTACCCTTATACAATAGTTTATGGACCGTATTTATGCTTTACTCGATAATAATGTGAAGTTACATTTCCAATTTCTTATTTCATAAAGAACTAGATTTCACAAAAGATGAAATTAAAGTAGCTAGTCTAATTGTCACTTAAGAGCACTAGATATCCAATTATGCATAAATTACAAATACAAAGCATTTCTCCCACATTGACCATTAATAAGAAACGATGGAGATGTCACTCAAGTTAGAGTATAGAATTCGGGTCAAGCAATGGATCAAAGCATACCTTTCTCGGCCTTTTGGCTAAGATCAAGTGTAGTATCTGTTCTTATCAGTTTAATATCTGATACGTGAGTCAATGACTCACAACGATATTAAATTTATTTTTTAAGGGGGAGGATCCATCACGGTAGCTTGCTATCGGGATCCTTAAGCGTCGCCTATGCGTTGCAATATAGCAATGGCCTGGCGTACCCTACCAAATTGAAACCAAATCTCTTGTTGATTTAGTCTGTTACAAAGAGTGATAACATGTATTTATGGTGAATAACTGAATATGATTGAAGTTCTTAATATGTTTAAATTTTTCCTGTTTGGTGGGACTAAGTTGTTTTCAGGGAAAACCAATTTCCCTTTTTACATTGTTTGATCCTTCATTTTATATGGCAATAATAAGAATGAAGTTTTCTTCAAGGTGAGATCAATTCAAAATTGATTCGTTAAGGACTCAAGGAGGCTATATAGTTTATGCCGTTAAAAAAAAGGCTATATAATTTAGAAAACAACCTTTTTTTTTTCTAGCTGAGTTCATAAATAAGTGTGTTTCATGAATGACCTTCATAAATGAGATTTGCGGTTTTCACATTTGTAGATATCATGTACATAATATCATATAGTTTATCATCATATTCACTCTTATCATATAGTCTAGCATCATATTCACTCTTAATATAGTCTAGCATCATTCTATTTGATAAAGCGACTAATTTAAATCAATTGTTGTAGAATTGGGTTTCTATTGCTATAGGTCACATGCTCTGCTTGTGATATTTTCTCTGTTTTGTATTTTGTCTTTTTCTAGTCCCCTGTCCTTTTGTAATTGGTTGGTAATTTCTTGGTGTGTTGTCCTTGGTTAGAATCATCCTAGGGATTTGTAGAGCAACCATATATATATGATGTAGAGGGGTGAGCCCAGCTTTGTAACACAAAAAAAATATCAGTGAAAATACTGATAAAAATCAATGAAATTGAATGCAGCAAATCTGCTATAAAAACACCTTAAAGAATTTTTCTTTTCATGGTATCAGAGCCAAGTTACGCTCAAAATCAACGAAATTTTCTTTTTTTAGAACAAAATATTCAATCTTTGAAGTCTCATTATGCCTGAGAGTAATGAGAACGATGGAACCCAAACTGGAAATGCATATGCAGATCCATACTACTTGGCGAATTTTGACCATAGTAGTTCCAATCAACAGCCCGGTATCATCATTTTTAATGGTGAAAATTATCTGAACTAGACCAGAAGCATAAGAATGGCATTGGGATCAAGAAACAAGCTTGGTTACATCGATGGAAAGCTGAAGAAACCAAACCCAGGTCACGCTGATTATGGGAAATGGTATAGGAATGACAATGCTGTGAGGGGTTGGATACTTGCTTCCATGACAAATAGTCTTGCTGAGAGTCTAATTTATTTAGACACTGCTAAATAACTCTGGGGTGAAGTGAAGGAGAGATATGGGCAAACAAATGCTCTGCTTTTGTATCAGCTTAAGAAGGAGTTGAGTGATCTAAAGCAAGAAAATCAAGCTGTTGGGAATTTTTACTGCAAGCTGAAAAATTTATGGGATCACATATCTTCTATAGAAGGAATACTTGAGTGCACTTGTGGTGCAATGACTAAGTGTACCTGCAATATGATGAAGAAGCTAGCAGATGCAGAGTCTCTCAACAAACTGATTCAGTTTCTGATGGCCTTGAATAAGGGATTTGAAAATATAAGAGGAAGCATTCTTGCTATGGAGCCACTGCCACCCGTGAATAGAGCATTTCATCTTGTGCAACAACAAGAGAAACAAAAGGAAATCACTGGAAATATGCAAAGTACCAGTGAAATGAGTGCAATGAATGTGAAGAAACAACCTGTCAACACTTGGCAGAAGATAGAGTCTAAGGAAGCAAAAATGAAGAAGAAGTGTGACTATTGTGGTATAAGGGGACACCTTAGAGAAGGATGATTTCATCTCAATGGATTTCCAGATTGGTTCAAAAATCCACCAAAAGGGAAAGGAAATCAGAAGACAACAACAAGTGCAGGGAAAGAAAATGCAGAACATGCCGGTGAAACTCCTCTTGACAAGAACTTTGAGCAAGGTGAGTCAAGTGGAACTAAACCAGATGCTAATCTGATTTCCACTTTGGTGCAGGAGGTAATGAAAGCTATGAGTGACAAACAACACATGGCAAACTTTGCAGGTAATCTCTTAGCCTCAAATGTAGGGCATTACTTTCAAGTTTTTGATCTAGGAAGTTGGATAGTTGATTCTGGTGCATCAGACCATATGGTAGGAAATAGGAATTTATTTCACACCATAAAACTCTTAGATTATCCAATAAAGGTAGGCCTTCCTGATGGTCAAGTGAAAAATGTGAAGGAAATAGGAACAGTTAGATTGACTGCCAGAATTATGTTGAAAAACGTATTGTTACTTCCTGATTTCAAACACAACTTGATGTCAGTAAGTAAATTAATAGAGGACGATGTGTGTTTGGTAAATTTTAATAAAGATGGGTGTGTAATACAGGACCCTATCAGTAAGGAAGTGATTGCTCGAGGAAGAACAAAAGAAGGGCTTTTTAGATTGAGTTTTGGGAAGAATGAAGTGAAGAATAGCTCAAGTAGTAGTGCTAGCAGTAGCAATAATGTAGTGAGTGATATGAAACATAACTTGAGTATTTTACATGCTAGATTGGGACATGTATCTTTGTCTAAGATGAAACATTTGAGCTTTTGTGATTGTAAAAACTTAAGTGAATATTTTTGTGATACTTGTTGTGTTGCTAAACATCACAGAGTTCCTTTTAAACCAAGTAATTCTATTGCTAGCAAAGTTTTTGAGCTGATTCATGTAGATTTGTGGGGACCTTATAAGGTCAAAAATATTACAGGTGCTTCTTATTTTCTGACTATAGTAGATGAATATAGCAGAGCTAGTTGGACACGTCTTATGTCCAAAAAAGAACAGGTGAAAGGGATTTTGAATAATTTCTTAAACTTTGCTGAAAATCAGTATGGCAGCAAAGTAAAAATCGTGAGAAGTGATAATGGGACATAAATTTTTCAACAGGGATGTGGAAAAATCTTAGGAGAAAGAGGAATTCTACACCAAAGAAGTATAGCAGGTGTTCCACAGTAGAATGGAAGAGTAGAGAGAAAACATAGGTTTCTCTTAGAAACAACAAGAGCCATCAGACTTCATGCAGGTTTACCCATGTATTTTTGGGGAGAATGTATTCTAGGAGCAACTTATCTCATTAATTTGCTTCCTAGTTCAGTGTTGGGATGGAAGACTCCCTTTGAGAAGTTGAACAAAAGGAAACCTCAATATGGACATCTAAGAGTCATTGGATGTTTGTGTTATGGGTTACCTACAATAAAGAAGGGTGACAAATTTGAAGAAAAGGGAATCAGATCAGTCCTACTTGGATACCCTTATGGACAGAAGGGATACAAGTTATTTGATCTTTAGAAAAGAAAAATATATGTGCAGAGATGTGAAGTTTCAAGAAGATACATTTCCCTTTCTTACTCAGAAAGGTAATGTATATCAGAATATGCAAAAGCAAGTGTTAATTCCCCATATAGTTTCCAAAGTGGAGGAAGTAAGGATGGGTGAAAACTCGATACATCAAGAAAGTGTAGAAAGTTTGGATGTGTTGCAAACAGATGAGTCAACAGATGAGTCAACTACACCATATCATGTTGAGCAAATCTCTGATGGTGTCCTCAATTCGACAGAAAGTATTGAGGATTCTACGGGAAGCACTCAAATCCAGAATACTGAAGATGAACCTCAAGGTGCAGGTGTTAGAAGATCAGAGAGGGAAATAACACTTTCAACTAAGTTGAAAGATTATGTATACAAGCTACCAGGAGTTCAGATTCAATCAAAGTTTCTTGCAATCCATACTGTGAAAGAAATGCAGAAGCACTCACCCGAGTATGTTGCTGGTATGAGCAATATGGTGAAGGTGGTAGAGCCAGAAAGATATGAGAAAGCTCAAGGACATACGGGATGGGAAAATGCTATGAAAGAAGAACTTGATGCAATGGAAAGGAATGGAACCTGGAATCTGGTAGATCTACCTTAAGGAAAGAAGGCAATAGACTCAAAATGGGTTTATAAAGTGAAATGTGACAGATATGGAAATGTTGTTAGATTGAAGGCAAGAATAGTAGCAAGAGGTGACAAGCAAATTAAAGGGAAAGACTATCACCATACCTTTTCCCCTACAGTAAAACTCAGCACAGTTAGGATTTTGACTGCTCTTGCTACAATAAAAAACTGGAGCTTCAGCATTTGGACGTCAATAATGCTTTTTTGCATGGGTTTCTTGAATAAGAAATCTACATGAAGCCACCAAAGGGGTACGAGAAAGGTGAGCCAGGGCAAGTTTGCAAGTTAGTGAGAAGTATCTATGGTCTCAAACAAGCTTCGAGAGCATGGAACTGTGCGCTGAAGAGTTTTCTCATAAGACATGGATATAAACAGTCTAAGAAGGACTATTTCATGTTCACAAAGGAACAAAATGGGAAACAAGCTATCATTTTAGCATATGTTGATGATTTGTTGATTACCGGAGACAACTTGGAAGAAATAGAAAGATTAAAAGCTAATTTAGACTCTGAGTTCACCATTAAGGATCTTAGAGAATTGAGATTCTTTATTGGAATTGAAGTAGACAGAAATGAACATGGTACTTTGTTGAATCAAAGAAAATACATACTTGATATACTCAAGAATGTTGGCATGGAAGATTGCAAGATAGCAAAATTCCTTTTTCCAAAAGGAATGAGGCTGTCTACTGAGACAGGAGAAATCCTTGCACACCCGGAGATTTACAGAAGAATTGTTGGGAAGTTGTTGTATTTAAATATTACCAGACCAGACATATCATATTCAGTACAACAACTATCCCAATTCATGCATTGCCCCAGAAAACCTCATTTACAAGTAGCATTACACGTGATCAGATACTTGAAAGGAACCATGGATTGGGGATTATATTATCCAAGAAATTCAGAATTGAAGATTGAAGGATATTCAGATGCAGATTGGGGAAGTTGTGCCTTTAGTGCACGATCTCTTACTAACTATTGCATTTTCATTGGACAATGCCTTGTTTCCTGGAAGACAAAGAAGCAAAAGACTGTATCGAAATCATCCACAGAATCTGAATACAGAAGTATGTCTCACACCACAAGTGAACTTGTGTGGGTGGATGATATTTTTGCAAAATCTTAGTGTCAGTGTTCACTACTGCAAAACAGGCCAAAGAGACTCGTCCAAATAAGCCAAAGAGACTGCCTTAGAGGCGGTCTCTAGCTAAGCGGTCTCTTTGGCAAAGAGACTGCTTTTTAGGGGTGGTCTCTAGAATGAAAAAAGTGAGACTGCCTATTAAAGAAAAACGGTCTCTAGAATAGAAAAAGTGAGACTGTGTATCAAAGAAAAGCGGTCTCTTTTTTGAGAAAAGAGAGACCGCTTATTGAAGTTAGGCAATCTCTTTTTTGATAAAAGATAGACCGCTTATACATAAGCGGTCTTTCGTGTCATTTAAAAAAAAAAAAGCTTATTAAATTTAATATTTAAACTTCAAATTATAATTATTTAACGTTTTATACAAATATATGGTACATACAACAAATTACAAAACCCAATGTACAAAGTATAAAAAAAAAATCTATAAATCCTAATACGCATCTTCAGCTTGAGCTTCAAATATTCATATCGTGTTGGACAATGTGCTACGAATATGAACTGATCCATATGCTCATAAGCTGCAATTAAAAAAAAATGAATTAGGCGAAAAACTTAAAGAACTAACCCAAAAAATTGTAAATAACAACTACCTTCGTCTCAAATCCAGAAAATCAAAAACATAGAAATTAACTTACCTTAGAAAAACTACTCATTTGCTGAAATCAAAACTCACTAATTAATAAGATAAATGGAAATAAATTGTACTATGTAAGAGATACGACTTTCACTTTCAATTTACTCTTCTGTATAGACAATGTATGGTAATATAAAAGTATAAAACAACATTTTCAAGATGAGATCTAGTAATTTTTGAAACTATTATTGTGATTTTGAGATGGATTTTGATCTAATTTAAAAACTGTATGCGGTATCGAAAAGTATCAAAGAAAATGAAACTTTCAGTCCGCTCCATAAAATTACTACAAAATTCAAAATTCGAAATTTGAAATTTAGAACTATTCCTTAAATAAATTACACAAACAAAATTCAGAAAAATTACACACAAATATCAATTCGAAAATCAACCAAAATAATAATGATGATGAGAAGAGGAGAGGAGAGAGATAGACAAACCTTAGAAGCCAAAGAGAGAGTATTGAGTGTTCGGATCGGAGCAAGGGAACGACGAGCTAATTGCAGATGCTGCCGCCGCGAGGTGATGAAGAGGGAGGGCGGTGGAGTTGTTGACGGCGGTTTAGCTATGATGAGGAGAGAGAATGGATGAAGGTTAGAGGTGGTTGCATCAAAATAGAAAGAGAAAATCAAGGGATTGAAGATACAAGAAAAAGAAGGTTAGAGGCTGGAAGCAGGAAGCTAAGCTAGGGTTTTAAGGAGGAGGGAGAATAAAAAAAATAAGAGTTCATATCTAATGGAGCAGGCTGGGGTAAAGGGAATTAGAGAGATACGATTTATAAGAAAAGAAAAAGGCAAGAGACCGCCTAACTTAATAAGCGGACTTAAGTTTTAGTTTCAAAGACCGTTTTTCTTTTATTTTATTTTTTTTAGGGAATCAAAGACCGGTTATTTAATAAAACAGGTCTCTCTTTTAATAATTTTTTACTAAAAAAATTATGAGAGACCTGTTATCTTCAATAAAGGGTCTTAATTAATTTTTGACTCCTAAAACTACTACCAAAGAGACCCGTTATTTGTAACATTGGGTCTCCTAAATCACAGAGACCGGTTATTGAATAAAATGGTCTCTTAGTTTGGGTCTCTTTGACCATTTTTGTAGTAGTGGTTCCAAAACCAATTTTCTTACATTGTGACAACAAATCAGCTAAGCACATAGCTCAAAATCCCATCTTTCATCAAAGAACAAAGCACCTCAACATTAATTGTCATTATGTGAGGGAACATATTGAAGCAGGTTTTTTGGATACCATTCATGTTCAATCGAAATAGCAGCTTGCAGATCTCATGACAAAATCCTTAAGTTAGCAGCAACATAATTTTCTTTCAAGTTGGGACTTGTGACTGAACCCAAGCTCCAACTTGAGGGGGGATGTAGAATTGGGTTTCTATTGCTATAGGTCACATGCTCTGCTTGTGATATTTTCTCTGTTTTGTATTTTGTCTTTTTCTAGTCCCCTGTCCTTTTGTAATTGGTTGGTAATTTCTTGGTGTGCTGTCCTAGGTTAGAATCATCCTAGGGATTTGTAGAGCAGCCATATATATATGATGTAGAGGGGTGAGCGCAGCTTTGTAACACAAAAATATATCAGTGAAAATACTGATAAAAATCAATGAAATTGAATGCAACAAATCTGCTGTAAAAACACCTTAAAGAATTTTTCTTTTCAATTGTTGTGAATTAGTCTGATTTTAAAACCTTTTGAACTGGTTCGACAATTGATAAAAATTTGGTGATTACTTTGATCCTTGTCTGGATCAACCTTTACAAAAGAATCTTTGCTATAAGCTTAAATGGGTAAATCTTTTTCTCGATGCATCTTTTCGCATCGTTGCCTCGTACACTTATGATATAATCGTAAAGAACGAATTGAATCACTACTTTGATACGTATGTAGTATATGTATATTAATGTAGAAAGAATTTGATGATTCATCCCACACTGAGAAGGTACAAAAGTAATGAGAAGAATCCAGTATACGAAGGAATTGAATGACATTGTAAAACTTACTTACCTGGACGGGGTCAATGGGCGATCAAGAAGGCTCATGGCCTAGGGTGATGGCTTCCGTTGCACTTAGGAAGCGCATCAGCTTAAGATCTCCCCGAGTGGGAGAGTCTATGTCATAATTTGTGACAGTGGAGGCCTGCGTTCGCGCGGCCTCTATCTACTTCTATTCTTAAAACTGAAGCTACATTTTTCTTATTGTCGAACAAAAAATAAGATTTTGCTTAAAATTTTATTAGATGTCTTTTGTTATAAAATAGGGAGAAATATAAGAGAGATTGATAGAGAATATATCACTGTATTTCTATTCCATATAATGGGATATATATATATATATACAATATAATTAGGGTTTTCTTAAATAAAAATATAAACCCTAGTTCCATCTAGAATATTCTGGAATGATACAAGGAGTATAATGGGCATCCACACAATATTTCATAACACTCCCCCTTGGATGTCCATTATCGAAGACTGTGCCTCGTTAAAACCTTATTAGGAAAAACCCTGTGGGATAAAAACCTAATGAAGGAAAAAGAGTACAACATTCTTCGCAATATGTAGAGATGCTGCCTCATTAAAAACCTTACCAGGAAAACCCAACGTGGGACAAAACCATGGTCAAGGGAAAAAGAGTGCAGCGCGTATTTTCTCCCCCTGATGAATACATAACTTGAGATCTTCTAGTGTCGCAGCAATGAATCCAGTATGTTGGATATCTTCTAATAAGATGGTAAAATATCATTTGTTGATCTTCGATCCTCCTAAATTGAAATTGCATCTTCAAGTCTTCATGTGGACATGTAAAGTGTCTTCATTTCACCATATATGTGTTTATCTCTAATATCACCATTCCAAATCTCTATTTAATAGTTGATTAAAAAAGTTAAACTTATGCGGTTATGACTTCTTCTGGAAGTCGTTAATAATAAATATTGGTGATCATTATTTGATTTAACATTCATTAATGATAATTTGATGACAAAACTTAATATTATTAATGTCATTCTTCAATATCATATGAATTATAATATAACATATGTAATTATGTACGCTAATCATGGTTCTTCTGGACCATGAGAAAACATTCTCGCGCATAAGTATTCCATTGATATTATTTAGATGTTTCATGATTGACATGATAGCTCTCTTATAAATACAAATAGTAAATCTTACTAACTCTCATATGCTCAAACTTCAGGCTGAGATGTCAATAATGTAGTCACATAGACTTTTCAAGAGTTTGATAATAATTGCAATATTCAAGACATAAAAATTTTTAGGGTTGGGCATTTAATACGTCATATATAAGTTCTTCAGGAACTCCTTTTACATGATTCATAACATGTTATTAAATAAGTGTCATCAATAATTTCATTACAATTATAAGCCCATTGGAATATAAACATCTCTTTCTAATTTTTCATCAAAGTTGTAAATATGTCTTACTATATTTTGAAAGAACATTCACATACACCACAGCCATTGTAAGAAATTAATCTATGCAATATGATATATATAAAACATGATAACATATTAAACAAATTATATAATGAGTAATGCATCTAACTTCCTACATATGCAATAAACCATTAACCTATGACTCACGTACACATGAATATAACACTCAAAATGATGCAAGACACTGTACAACGTGGATTTAAAAATCCATATTTCATTGGACTTCGGGTCCATGATAAACTTATATCATTATCATTATGTCGACATCAAAATGTACATATATTTCTGATCCCTTACTTATTAGTCCATTCCATTATGCATATGCATATTATTCATCGGTTCCATTATGTACCGGTATCATAAAATTCCTTTAACTTACATTCCGCATGCTATTTTACTATGATATCTTAATACATTTCTCATTGGTACCATCATAACTTTTCTAACATCATAGGCCATCTATTATAATAATTCAGATATCTATACCACTTTAGGATATTTCATACACTATGGTATTTATATACTATTACACTATTAGTGTCAACTGCACTATCTTGCCAAATATCATATCTATTAAACATATCTTTATTTTGGAACCGATCATATACAACCTACACTTCAGGTGTAGTGATTCAAGTACAATTGGCAAGATTTTATCTCAATGTATACACATAATTAATATGACCAAAATGTATCTTCAACGCTATGCAACATGAGTCATAACTGAATACAAATCAAATCATAAATGTGCAACATATCTTGATAATATAGATACAAAAGTTGGAATATATATAACTTTTCAAACTACCATTATAGGGATCATAAATATTATTTATTTATTTATTTATTTTCGATTTTCCCAACTTTTGCTATTTTTTCTCCC